ATAGTTGTATAAATTTGATGTAACGAGGGATCATAAACCATTCGACCTTTGTATGGAGTTAAAGCGGGTGTGAATCGCGAGAGATGTTTAATTTCCTCAATATCTAAAGGACAAATATCTCGAAATATTGCTACAGCGAAAAGTCTAATGGTTAACATCAAGTATTGTAAAACTCCAATTTTATCCGAACGAATGATATCAATAATCTCTTGAATGTCATCATTCTTTCCGCAGAGAGGTTGATGATATAAATTCCAGGCTAAATTATGACATTTCTTACTACAAAAAACTTCCTTGCATTTTTTTTTTGGACAGGTATAAGCTTCCCTATCCGCTCTTACTCTTCGTGGTTGATAATATGAATCCGTAGGGATGAGATCTTTAAGTTCGTGAAAACAATAATCGCAACGAAATACGTAATAATTATGAGCTGGTAAGAAGGGATTTTCTTGAAATACGATACGATGAGTCGAAATTGAATCCTTTACAAAAATACCAAGCTGAGCTGAAGAATCAATATCGACAATGGAAACTTTAAGTAAATCTTTACTCGCAGCATCAAGTTTCTGTTGAAGCTGTTTCAACGATTCTTCTGATGTTCGTTCCTCATATCTTTTATCCCAAGGATATTTTTTATCAAATTTATAAAATCCATGTCTCATAGGTTGCTCAATCGATAAAGGATCCATACCATTAGTATGTAAAAATTGTTCGAATAATGAAGACGTCTTATAATGTTCCTCTTTCTTCTTTTCCAACATTTTAAAATCAGACTTTGGATAATCTGGATCTTTGCCAACTAAATCAATACAAGCATTGTATTCAACCGCCGCATCTTTAGGTAAACCTAAAGCACTGTATGCTTCTGCCTTACGATATTTTACTTTAATTCTTAATTTGATTGAATTAATATCATTAAATTTGTCTTCTGGATATTCTGCTAAAATAGCCTCCGAATTCGCCGTATCATGTAATACTAGTTCAGGATACCCGGCTTTAAGACATGTAAAAGCTCTGTTGCACCAAAGATATGGATCTTTTGGTGTATCTTGAAGTCCATCAGTATAATGTTGCCATGCTGAAATATAGTCACCTTGCTTAATTGCTTCTTTTCCTTTTTCTCGATAATCTGATGAAGGCATTTTTATTGTATATTATTATTTTTTTTTTTTTTTTCTAAGAAAGACGATCAGAAGGAAATAATAAATTTTTTTTTTATCGTTTTTGTTTCCTATTTAATCATAAGATCTTCAAATTTGCAACGTAATACTTGAATCGATCGATGGCTTAGTTTTATAACACGTGATTATAAGCCCATTGAATGACCAATAACCGTTTTCCAACAGAATAAGTTATTTGAAGATCAGTTAAAATACGATAAATTCACACGAAACTACTACAAAATTGATATGTAAAACCTCTTCTTATATAGAATAGTTTGCTAGTTAGGTGAGATAGCGAGATATTAGGCCTGTTCATTTCGGGTTTTTGATCGCAAAATCCGTTAACCAATCCAAACATGTGATCAAAACAGGGATTTCTGATCGCAAAAAAAAATTTCAACAAAAACCAATCGGATTGCTGATCAAGGTACACAATTTCGCCAGCCAATAATTATCAAACTATTGTTAACACGTGACACTTATCAATCAATTAAACGATGATTTTTGAAATTCGTTTTTTAAATATACCCTTTCCTTTGTATAAATAAAAAGTCATTGTCATTTGAATTATTTTTGTCCTGAAAAGAACTTTCTATTCCTCATCCCCATAAATCATCACAATGAATTATGAATTACTCTATCAGAATTTTTTATATAAGTTGTGTGTGACAAACGTGTGTAACCGAACCATTTTGCGCATTTGCGCCAGATTTTTTTTAGAAAGTGATCTACCGGTTATTTCGGATATTATCTGGTGCATAAATCTTTATAAATTCATGTAATTCAAATTGATGTAGTCCTCATATGATGCTTTAATAAGCCATTTAAATTTTCGACAAAGTCTCATTTTTTAAGAATTAAAATAAGAAAACACCAAGAGGTCACAATCAACTGCGGAATGCTCATTTTGGTAAATTGCGCATGAGAGGTAGGAACTAGTAAAAATACAAGTTTGGGAACATCCAAATGAAAAATGTTAATGTGATTTGGTAATACAGTGTCTAATCGGTCAAAAAACGGGAGTTATCCGGTGCGACCAAAAAAAAAAAATAAAACTTTTAATAAGCCATTTGTTTTTCAAAAGTAAAAATTCATGCATAATCAATCGGAATTAAAAAAAAATATACGCTTATTAGGTTTCCAAACTTACTCGCCAGAAATAAATGTTGCGGTGATTTTATATTTTTCGAATTTAGAAGGTTTGTGAAAGTAGAATGATGGTTACGTAATATCGAGCAGAGATCTTTAAATGTTTATAAAAACATCCCTTATCTCAAATTCGGAGAATCTTTTTTTTTCTCAAGCTATTATACGTCCAAATCAAGTTTTTACCAAATCATTGGGGAAATGAACAAGATAAATTAGATTAATTACTTCTTTCGTCAATTAATATAATCGATTTATTTATTCTGTAAAACGAACAAAGGAATGATTCTGAGAATTTTTACCAAATTAACGAACTTCAATGACGAGGGTATTAAATAGGGATGAATTAGAAAAAATATTTGGAAAAAAAAAAAGGAATTCGGAGTTATTTGCATGTCCATATGCTTTTTTTAAGGCTTAAAAGTGGAAAAGGTGTGAAACCATTTTATATCGTAATTAAACTTTTAAATATTTGGAAACAAAATTGTCCTCATGTGGTGTAACAAATAAATCCTAAATTTAATCTCGCATAAAATGCACTTTTTTTTTTTTATTTTATTTCTTTAAATTATGTTTTCTTTATCGTGCGTCACAATCTTATTATATCCATCTTATGGAATACTAGATAGATTTATCATCACATAATGTTATATTATGTAAGGAGGATTGGAAAATATGGATTGGATAACGATTTAAATGAATCTTGAAATTCAATAAACGTTATTTCTTCCCCCAAGCTATTATTATGACGTCAAGTTTCGTAATCATACTTTGAAGAAATGGGAAAAATGGGACAAATTTGAAAGTGAGCTTTATTAACTTTATTAAAAGGGTTCAATAGATTTGCCAAGATAAAACAAATAAAAATAAAAAGAATCCGGGAAATTTAAGGTACCCTTTCGAATTACTACATCATTATTTGTCTAGTCCTTGGAAGTTTATATAATAAAATATTAACACTAATGTTAAAAATTGAAAATGCATAAATTCAAAAAAAATAAATGTGACGCACTATGAAAAATGAAAATCTGAAAATCATCAAATAATGTTCGTGTATGACCTTTTACAAATTTAAATATATGTTGAAAATTGTCTGTTTATAAGATATGGGATAAATCGATTAATCATGATAATTATGCATTTGGTGAACTGATCTTTTTGAATTTCTAATCCTGATTTCAAAAGAGGTATAATTACACTATATTTGGACATGCCGAAATTCCGATGACGAAAGGTTATATACAGTATATAAAAATAAAAATAAAAATTAAACAATTAAAACCTTACGATTAAATTGTTTTAATTCATTAATAATACCTATTTCAAATACCACACGACTTAAGTTTGTAGTACAAATCCCTCTTTATCCTTTCATTTCATGAAAAACAAATACTTAAAGCAAAAAATATTAATTGACTCTTCAGAAAATTTGAAATAAAAAGCGAAAATCTCTAAAATCAACATCATAAAAAATGTCTTGTCTACAATTTTTAATCTCTCTATGCCTACTTCTTATCGTGATTGATGCTTTTACTCCTAAAGGTCGTATCGGATATTCTTCTGCTCTTGTGGGAAAGAAAATTTATTTTTTTGGTGGAAAACTGACCAGTGTTGAATATTCGAATGAAGTTTATCAACTAGATGTATCGCAATCTTTTGACATAATAGCTCCACCATGGGTTAACCTTTCATATTCTGCTTCAGTCCCGTTCTTTAGTGTGGATGCAACGACTTCAGTTATCGATGATAAGATTTATTTAATGGGGGGATACATGTTTGATCTGACCACAAAGGAAGAAATATTCGCATCGTCCGTGTATACTTTTAATATTAATTCAATGCAATGGAAGCTTACCACGATGAAAGGAAAAGCGCCTCAAAGAAGGGGTCTTATGAATGCAGTTACTGATCAGGCTGGAAAAATATATGCCTTTGGTGGATATGATTATCCTTATAATCAGAATAACAGCGCAAAATTATTTAATGACATGATAATTTTGGATACAACGGATTCAATCTGGTCTTATGGCACAAAAATCAATTCCCCACTTCCTCGATATTACTATACAGCAACAATGTTGTCTGATGATGTCATCGTTTATATTGGAGGGTATGAGGTTGTCGGATGTGAATTATGTTTTCAAATTGTTGACATCAATCAAATTATTCTATATGATACAATAACTGATTCTTGGACCAAGATGGTACTTTGATTAAAATTTTTTTTTTTTAAAAAAAAAAAAAATTAAATTTTATTCTTTCTCCTAGAAAGCAGGAGGTGTTGAAAAAATTGATCCTCGCTATTCCCATACCGCTGTACTTGGTTAATACTGTTTCTCATTTAATCTTAACAGCGTTGATTTATTTTTTAATTCATTTCAATTTTATTTATTTGAATTTATTTTTATATTCAAAAAGATTCTAATAATCAAATTATCGTTTATGGTGGAGATAAATCTGTATCTCAAATTGCCTCACCGTCTTTAATTGTTTTAAATGTAAATATCAAACCATATGAATGGATTATACCGTCAACTTACGGTAACATCCCTCCAACACTCGCTAATCATAGCGCCTTTATTATTGAAGATTATATGATACTCGCTTTTGGTAATTGAGTTTTTTTAATGATAAATGATAATTTGAATGATACAAATATTAACTATTTTTTATGGTCAAGGTAATATAATAATGCCAGATGATCATCCCTTAGAAATCATGAATACAAACGTTTATTTGCTCGATTTAAGAACCTTTACGTGGGTTAACTCATTCAATCCTACCAATCTGTCCCCAACTATTATTATTAATCCAATGAATACAACATCATCGGTGCAAATTACCGAAACATCTTCCATTGCTAGCAATAATTCTTTGAATCCCAATAATCTTTTAGATCCATTTGAAGAATATCAACAATTAACCACGTTAAAGGTCGTCGTTGGAACAATTAGTGGAATCTTTGGTACGGCATTTTTGATGACTGTTGGATTCTTAATTTATAGGTGGGATAAGAAACGAATTAAAAGTGAAACGCTTAATATACCGGGCTCTACGGATAATTATTATCAACCTTATTTGTATCGTCAAAACACCGTAGTTCCCGTTTTAAATCGCTATACATAAATTTACCTTTGCCTTTTGTTAACTATATGTATGTAAGTCTTTTAATTATTGTCAGGCATCAAATATTAAACACATGCAAGTTTCACGTTTGAAATTTTTTAAAAAAAATAGTTGTTTCCAAATCTTTTGATCGAAATGAGGATTTTAATGCTTACCTCAGAGAACGAACTATATGGGACTTTTGCAATGGAAAGGGAAAGAATGAGTTAATGCTAAATCCGAACATATTTTGGTCTAAAAATCATATTTGGTATATGAAAATAAAAATTGATTTTTTCCGGCAGTTACCCCCCTTTTTATTGCAAAGGTCCCATAATAATTAAAATAACGAGTTTGGCGTGAATACGTTCTCAATTTTGTAATTACTCGAAGGTTAATATAAAAAGTTTAAGCTTAGGAAATAATGTCTGGTAACTGCAGAATAAACGGATCAAGCTTTACTACCCTTTTAAAAAATTATTTAATCAATTTTCAAAGAGGAGTCGCATTGGGATTGGAATCGATTTCGATATTTAGAAATCGATTTAATCGCGATTATCATTTCTCAAGATTCAACTCTAAGATTCGATTTTCGATTTTTGATTAATCTAATATAATCGATTTTAAAATTTGTGGCGTAGCGATTTAAAATTAATTAAAATAAACTCGCCGGGGATTAATAATATAAGAAAATTAAGAAAAGAATAATTCAAAGTTCAAAACTAAAAATAATTAATTAAAAATTTGCGAATATTAAAAATTAAAAAAAAGATTTGATATTAAAAAAAAAAAAAAATACCTCCGAAAAAAATAAACCAAAAACCAAGCGAAGAGTTTAAGCTCAAATTAAATTAAAAAGATAAAAAATAAATAATTTGATTTTAAAATTTTAATTATGAAAAAAAATCAATTAATATAAATTTATCATTAAAATTAAAATTAAATAATAATATTTAATTACAACAATTACGAGTTAATGTTAGAATTAGGATTAGATTAGGGTTAGAAATTATGTTTATAAAAACACCAATGATGAGTTAGGGATAAGATAAGGGTTAAAGTTAAGATTTGGATTATTTATCAATAACTTGTATTACTTTAAATTTTCTTTGTTATATATATGCTAAAACTTTAAAAAATTAAGTTTTTTTAACAACTATTTCACGTCGAGTAGCGAACCTCCGGGTCATTGCCCTGGTAAAACGTTAGTTTTAATGATAATGAAAATCAATTATTTTAAGAATACTATACAATTTATACAATTACGTCCAAAAATATATTATTAAAATCGATTTCGATTCGATTTTCGATTAATTCGATTTTATTAGAATCGATTCCAATCCCTTAAGTCGCATGATACTTTCTTACATAATATAAAATTACTTACATATATTCTCATTAAGAACTTGATTTTATAAGGCTGACATAAGTGGCTTTTCGTATTTAGAATGCTATTGAAGAAAAGTAAATCAGGGATAAGTACTTTCTAAAGTCTAACGGGCTATTTAATCTTATATTAAATTCGGTCCTTAGGTGGAAACCGGAGTATGCGCAATTATTCGTCATTGCAATTAAGGAGATTAAAAATAAGGTGTAACATTTAATTCATTTTTCATTCATAAATTTTCATATGATGCTTTTGTACACTTGATAAATGAAGCAAAATACGGAGGTTTGGAAGCTGCGTTGAAGAAATCGTAATACATTCCTGAAATTGGAATAAATTCCTTTGTAATCCAGGTATTAAGGAACCACTTAAATTATTATTTTTTTTAAAAAAAATTTTTATTATATACTACAAATCAAATGCTTTAACATCAAAACTTGATTTTCCTACTATTAATAGTTTGTCAAAGACGGCATATTTTTTTTTTTTTTTTTTTTTTTTGAATTTTTGAATTTATAGTATCAGGGGCGTATTTGTGTAAAATCCGACCATTTTAAATTTAAAAATAAATAAATAAATAATTTTATCGGTCCATTGTTTCTAAAATCGATTTTATCTAAAACGGGCTAACAAAAAAAAGGTAGTATTTATAACATTGATAAGGTAATTTAATATACATGTATATATAAATGAATCAATAAAATTATTACACTAGGTAACGGAAACCAAATTAGTTACTTTAACCATAATACTATACTTATTGGGTAAGGACAGACACCACATGCATGGTTTAAGCTCTAACCGAAAGTGTCCTACGCGACAATTATTAATAAGGTATTTTATAAAATAATTAACTAATAAATTGAATCTTATTTTAAATCTTTTTGATGATAAATTGTAACAGTTATAAATAAATTTACTTGATTACAGATTAAATAAATACAATTCATTAATAAAACCGAATCATTCATTTCATATAATTGTTGGAATTAGGATTAGGAAATGATGACGTTGACATATTTTGTGGGACGTACATTTCACCAGATTCAGTATTATAAATAACGACACCGTACGGTTGATCAGGAGGAACATCAAATCCCCTTTGGGATTGTACTGCATTATTATTATAATCAGCTGAAGGCAAATTTTCGTTATGATGTTGGTTATATGTAGCGGATAAACTATTTCTAGGCAGCGGTTGCCGCGGTAGCTGCGGCTGCTGCAGATGATTGTTTGGTGTTGGAAGAGCTTGATATTGTCGCATTTGTTGATTCATTACATTAGGTGGCGGTTGAGAAGCGAAAGTAGGAGTACCATTAGAATTTTGAGGATTTAATTGCCTTTTTTTATAATAAAATATTCCAATTGACGCGGTTCCAAGACAAATTAAAACTACCGCAACAACTATTGAAATGATCATTACTTTATTTGTTGATTTTTTGTTTGTTTCCGAAGTATCATTGACAGAAGGCTTTGTCAAATCACTAGGTGGATTATAGGTTTTGATCCATTCCATTTTTTCTAGATCTAAAAGGTATAATCTACCACTTTGTCCTTTCTCATTATCATTCAAGGTTCTATTTCCTATAGTTTACGTGCAAAATATAAATATAAATTATCTTGTCATGAATCAATTGTATGAAAGTGCACCGAAAAAAAATAATAATAATTAAATTACCGAAAGCAATTATCATGTATTTTTCGACAATAGTTGCGGTATGAAATAAAAGGTCAGGTGGTTGTTCCGTTCCCGTTCCCGTTCCGGTCATAATTGGAGGTTTAATCCACTTGTAGTCTGGAGTTGAAGTATCCAATATCATGACTTGTGGAGAAGATGCTAATAATGCTGGTAAATATATTCCTCCAAAAACTATTATTTGTCCATTCTTGGCTAAAGTACATCATTATGCGTATTAATAAAAGGATTTATTTTTAACTCGACATAAAAAAAGGAAGAAAAGGTTTAGCGTACCTAATGCAGCTGAATGTCCAGCTCTATTATTAGTTTTTTCACCGGTTGCAAGCTAAAGAATTTAAATTCAATATTAAGTAAACAAATATGAATCAAATAATGAGAATTATAAATAATTACCGTTTGTGACCAAGTATTTGATTTTGTATCATATTTCTGAATCTTTAAATTATCAAAAATTTGAATTCATCAATTAGATTAACATTTTTAAGTTGAATTAAAAATTAAGCTTATCGTTCACCTTATTTATATCAACGTTAACAAAATTAAGGTCCGAATTAGCTTCCGATCCACCGATGTAAACAATAATACCATCAGGTAACATAGTAGCAGTATAATCAATTCTAGGAAAAGGACGATTTAACCTGGAACCCGTAGTCCCTTCCAAAGTTAAAGAATTCAAAATATACATGTCATCATAAACTTCAGGAGGGTTAACATCTAAAGCAAGATCAGCACCACCACCAAACATATAAATTTTTCCATTTGCATCAGTAGCAGGTTGTAATTCTCTACGTTTAGAAGGTGAACCAGTGAAAGTTGCCACTGACCATTTTCTAGTTTTAATATCAAATGAATAAGATGTTGAAGTTGTTGCTTTCAAGGAAGCTGGATCTAACATTAATCCAGCAAAAAAAAATACCGTTAAATTATCCTTTCCGCCAACAGCACTTAGACACCATGCGCATACAAATGGGCTTTCCTCTTGAAGTGTTAAATCCACAAATGCAACTTTGTCTACATCAAATTTTTTTGTCAAGTCTACATAAAATACATTTGACGTTGGAGCAAAATTTCCATTAGCTATAATTCCACCTCCAAAAATCCATAATTTGTTTTCTATGAAATGAGTATTATGTGTATATCTTTCTCGTACTATTTTTTGATTTTGTGCATTATTGACATTTATTATTGTGAACAGCAGAATTAATAATAAAAATGAATTTTGATGTGATTTTGACATTTTATGAAAAGAAAAAGAAGGAAAATTTTTTTTTTTTTAAAAAAAAAAAAAAAAAAATCAACTTTTTGGATCATTCTTTTTTTTTTTCCCTTTATAAATGTTTGAATTGAAAAATTGTTTCACGTTTGACAGCCAGCTTAATTATATTGAACTGCATATGCCGATCAGAATTACCAATTATGGTATTATAATAATAAAATTATACAGGTAACACACCAGGAATTTGCCGATTCGGAAATGTTGATTTGAAATTCGAAGGTTTCCAAAAATAAATAACTATATTCCTAATATGGATCATTGCGTAAATCTTTAATTTAGTTTTTGAGTGTCATCCTATCGGGTTAGTACTTAATATATTTTTATTTTGATTTCACATTTCTCATCAAATAGTTGGGTTATTATTATGATAAAATGCCTTAGTTTCCAAACACTTTTAATTCTATATTGAAAATGTTTACTTTATACAAAGTAATGGTTATAGTTCTTGGGAAGTAAATGCTTCAACTCGAGAGGAAATGGAATAAAACAAATAGAAATGTAATATTATTGTATAATTTAAAATTCAGATATGCATTTTGTTTTTGTGACTCTCGCAGATAATCTAAGTAACAAAGTAACTTAACCGGCAACGGATAAATTTTTATTATATGCTGTGTAATAGATATAATCATGTTCACTTATTTATTTAGCGATCGAAATCGAAAAAAAAATAAATAAACTACATTATGCAAATGCATTCATTTGAAACATATAAATTCATAACTTGTCTTTAGACTAAGCCTTAATGTACTATTCATTTTCTAAAAAAAAATAAAGTTAAGAAATCTCAAAAATTTAAAATCAAAATATATTATTTACACTTAAATCGACAATATAATGCTATTTTTACAGTGTTGATCGATGGGTGATCATGCAATGGCGATTTATCAATTGACTGCGCTATATTATGGCGTTGATAACCATATAATGAATACAAGTTTATGCTTTAACCTCTCTTACTCTCTGAAAAAGTAGCCGCAAAATTA